TCTTTATTGCATAGCAGAATCCATTTATGCATTCAGTGTCTGCCCAGTGATGTAGTATTAGCTTTGACTAAACTGGCAGCACAAAAGTCAGACACCTCTTTGACAACAGAAACAGACTCTATTAACAAAATAGAAACCCCTCTGCAAATGCCTCAAGTCTGTGTTTTGACAAAAAGGTCCGTAAGCGCACACACCGGGCTCTGGGAGTGCAGGTTTTGTATGGAAAATCATGTTGAGGTGAATCGGGAGTGGAACCCCCCCTTGGCTGGACTGAAGCCGACAGCGCCGCGGCCAGGCCCGTTTCTATTCCGGGAGCAGCGCTGACGGGCCCTGACAGATGCAGGCCTCGGAATGTGGCAGGGACAGGGAGCAGGCACAGCTGATTTGCACTCTTGGCAAGAAGACCTGTTGGGATCCCAGCTCCTCTGGCCCCATGCGGCAGCGACAGTGACAGCTCAGCACATGTGGCCTTCGATGGCCCCGGGCGGCATTCCCCCAAGAGCGGGGGGGTGCAGGTTAGGGGGGAGGATGCTCTGAGCCCTAAGGTGGCACATCTTTTCTCTAGCTGCATGACAAGTCTTCTGTAAGGACTTCAAGGCACTTCATGGGGGATGGGTGGAGCAGGAAGGCACGGCTCTCTAGTAGGCAGAGGTGCAATGTGTTATCGCTTCCGCGCAGCGCCACCCCCGGTCTGGAGGCTGGGCGCTGGGCCTTATTCCCCTCATGAAAGAATCCCTGAGCTACCAAGAAGTACCTAGAAACACGGGCGTGCCAGGCTCCGGATTCCGCATGGCTCGCTGACCTCTCTGAAACCCAACTCATAGCTGGGAGGCCAGATGGAAGACAGACCTATTTTATCTAGCAGTTGAGCCACAAATCATCTTTTATTCTATTAAACTTAGTGCACTGAATTTACCTGGCCACCGATCATGAGTCCTGGCTGGGCTGTGGAAAGCCAGACTGAGGAGAGAGCTCACCAGGGAGGCCGTGGCGCTCGCGGCTCAGCCAGCTGCGTTCCCAACTCCCCAGGTTTGGAATGGAAAGGACGCCTCCCCACGTGACAGGTGATCAAACTAGGAGCTCAGGCCTAGCAAATGGTCAGAGGAAGAGGAATGCGAAGCCCAGCTTTCAGGTGTGCTGTGATCAAAAAGACGTCAAATCTTAAAAATTCAATCTGCCATCCAGGGAAGAGAAATTTTATTAAACTTTCACCAACACCAAAATGTTTTTTAAAATGCAGTGGCTCCTTTTATCCTATATTCAGAGAATTGCCATTAATTTTGTGCATATTTGATCAATGAAATCTAGACACAGCCTCTGTCCCTTAAACCAACAGGAGATTGACGGTCTTTTTAAACAAAAATGGTAACTGCATATTTAATCTAATATTTGAAAAGAAGTGCCTGATTCTCTGATCAACCACGTCATGTGAGCCATCTTTGAACCTGCCTCAAAATTTTGTATCCTTCCTTCCCTTAAAAGGATAGAGAAATTCATAGGATTTGTGCATCAAAAACCATCTTGTACACTAAACCAGACTGGACTTTGGGTTCTCCATACCCCAGATTTGATATTATAACCCTCCTCTCTACCTCAGTCTGTGTCCTCAAGCTGGGAAATGCTAACTCTTCATCTACCACGGGGCTTAGCGCACTCTGGGTTAGAGGCAGGCCAGGGCCAGGATTCCGTCTAGGTACAAATCCTTGCTCCAGAACACCTACTTACCTGACCATGGACAAGCTCCTTTTTGCTTTTTCTATACCGCAATTTCTTCACATATAACACAAGCACAATATTGCCTACCCTTTAGGAGTTCTGTAGTATTTAAGCTAAAAAAACAAATAGCAGTAAAGTACATAAGCCAGGGCGCCACACAGATCAACCCCATTTGCAATGATGTTAGGTGGGAATGGGAGTGTCATTTAACATAAATTTGCCTGCAGTGACTTACGTTTAGGAATAACTGATGTTCATCCTTGGACAAATCCAAAAGACGCTGTAAAACGACTTCAACGGCAGCACTTAGCAGGTGCTAATTTGTGACACACCCACCATGGGCATGGCCCAAGAGCCAGGACCTTCGGCGGTCTACGAGGAGGCAGCGTGGAAATGTGCTGTTCTCCGCGTCCCAGGGCCCATGTGCAGCCCTCGCCCGGGGACGAGGAGGGTCGGGGTGAGGCTGTGGCACCCCATCCAGGAGGGGACTTCCCTGGGCTCCCTCCCGCGAAGGCTGGAACTCCTTCCATAGCAAAGTCTCTTCTCTGACCCAAGAAGGAAGGGACAGAGAGGACTGGCAGTGACTCCGAACAGCCCACCTCAGCTGCCGCATGCGGCCTGCTCCTCTCCTCAGCCTGCCTACCATTCCTGTGGCCACCAGCAGTCCCAGACAGGCCTGTGAAGGTTTTCTTCATCTGGCCCCAAAGGGGGCCACTCATCAGAACCCCCTCCCCCCCCGGGCAGAAAGCGGCAATCAAGCCTGCTGCGTGTCAAGAGAGCAGCTTCAAAACCCTCCCGGGCCCACGCACAGCTCAGCACCAGAGTCCTCAGCGCGAGTCTACCCCGAGTGACGTTCTCCAGGAGCATGGTGACCCCGGGTACCCCATACCGAGGCCAAGCACCCCAGTGTGGATGGGCTCCAAGCTCCGACTTCACACAAGGAAAAAGAAAGACGCTATGCAGAACAAAACAAGACAAAACCAGCTCGCATCCAACTTCAGCTAAAATCTAAGCTCAATGAAAACAGAAAGCTGTCCAGAGTTACCGCCGGTGTCCAGGAGGCCGTGTGGCTGCTGTGCACGGTGTATGCAGCCCCCCCTCCTCTCCCTCCTCCTCCTCCTCCTCCTTCTCTTCCTCCCCCTCCTCCTCCATCCTCACTGTGGCCATTGCTGATGAGCAGCTCCCAGCTAACTCCAGCGTGCACAGTGAGTGTGTGTGTCTATAGAGAACACAGTGAGTGTCTATATGATCCCTGTATGTTCATCTCTGAACTAATTCCTGAGTAAAAATTACCTGAGTTATGCAGCTCCTCTCCAGACACCTATCAGCCCATGCAATCGGCCTTCAGGCCCAGTATGATGACCAAATGAGATGAAACTGAAATTAATCTGTTCTGAGTTCCTTCCACACATCCTCCAAGGCTGCCCTTACAGTTTCTCTCCTCTAAAACTACCCTGCTCTTAACTTAAATATGATGGTTGGCCAAGTGTGTGTGTGTGTGTGTGTGTGTGTGTGTGTGTGTGTGTGTGTGTGTCCAGTGTCGCAAGCCTCTACTCCCTGGGAAGTCCCCGTGTGAAGGATCAGACAGTTCACTCAGGAGCCTCCGGGTTTTGATCCGCCAAACCTGAGAGCCGGGCTTCTCTGCAGCAGCGCCCAAAGCAGAACACAGATGCCCCCATCCTTCCACTGGCTTTCCCATCCTCACATCACCCCACCAAGATAAGTCCTGGCAAAGGAAGGCACCATGTTCTGTGCAGCCTGCTTTGCTAACCTGACCTTAACCAAATGTCCCAAGCTTTCTCAAGTGCCAGCATTCATATCAAGGCCAGCTCTAGCCCTGTGGCCCCACTGTATTCTGTTTAGTGTCTAATTGAAATATCATCCCTACATGCCACCAACAAAATAGTATTTCACTGAAGGGCACAAAAATACTTTGCTTTCAGTCAGAAGCATCCAGACTACTCATTAAGGTCAGTATCTCCTTCAGACAAGAGCATTAATAAGTTTATATCTGCATGAATAAAATATTGGCCCCTTGGGCTCTCCCAGAAATGCAAGAAAGGCATTATTCCCCGAAAGCACTGTGCTGTGCTTATGTAGCACTCTTGGTCTGATTTTGTGTTTGGCATGACTTCTCTCTCTAGCAAAACTCCATTTTTCACTGTTTCACCAAGCCCAGAAAACTGCTACCCTCAGCAGAAGGCTTCTGCTAGCTGCTGGCTGAACAAAATACTCTAAATTTCCCCCAGGAAATTCAACATAGAGACACTCGACACATAAGTCAAGTGCATGTGAACACTAAAATGCGGTGACTTTGTAGTCTATTTTACAAGGTAGGGCCGCCTTTTTGCAAAGTTTGCACATCTGGAAAATGGTATGCAAAAATTAATAAGGAAAGGTGCATGTACTGTAGTGTTTTTAAGAAATGTAAATGTGAGTTAGAAAGTTTGGGCTGAATAAAAAGAAGAAACACTGACAGACAGAGTCCGCTTGCTTCCTCCCTGTATCCTCTTCCTCCTGGGGGCAGGAAAGGACCAGGGCAGCGGAGAGCCGAGCAGCCAAGCTCCCTCCCCTCCCCCAGTCCTCTGGGAAAACCCAGCTGAGCTGGTGACCAGGGGCTCGCCAAATGTTAGCAAATGTGTTTCTTAAAATATAACAGGCTTCAGGCTGAGATGTAGATCAGTGGCAAAGCAAGTTCAACATCCTGGGCTCGGTCCCACATAGGTAGATGTGACAGGTTTCATTGCTACTGTGGATGAAACTATCTTTCCATCGTATTTTGAAGTTTTACATGGATTTCTCAATTTTCACTGAGGAAAACCTTTGATATGGAGTTACTTCACTTTCTGATGAGAGTTAGATGAAGTCCTTCCAACCATGTTCACGAGTCACTCAACAATCAGTGTACAGTGGAAGCCGGGTTGTTCCTTTGTGGTAAAACTGCCACTTGGCAGCTTGTCTCTGGGGACAATGCTCATTTTTCTAGAATCCTCTTCATGCTTGGTGCTGAAGTAAACAGTAAACTGTGCATGTAGTTTAAAGACCATATTTGCTTTTCTTTACCTGTATTTTCAGGACTAAGTTACCTTATGCCACTATACTATTAACTTATAGAAAGTTATTTGCAGTGTGGGATTTCAAAGTCCAAAAGGAAAAATCACAATTTGAACTGTGTCTTTTTTTCCCTCTTCTCCTCTCTCTTTTCCTCTCCTCTTCACGCCCCTACTCTCTCCCTCCTCTCCTTTCTCCCTCCCCTCCCTTCCTTGCCTTCTCTTCTTTTCCAGCGAGCTCTTCCTGTGACAGTGGCCTTGCCAGCATGGCCCCCAAAAGGAAGTGTGTCAAAAAGCCCAAAGCAGACGTCAAGGAGACAACCATCATCGTGGAAGAGAGCCCCCTGAGCAAGCTGCACGCTCTGAACGGGCTCCTGGAAGGGGGCAGCGGCCTGAGCTGCATTTCTTCTGAATTGACGGATGCATCGCACGGACCCAACCTCTTGGAAGGGTTAAGTAAGATGCGACAGGAGAACTTCCTCTGTGACCTAGTCATCGGCACCAAAACCAAATCCTTTGACGTTCACAAGTCCGTGATGGCATCGTGCAGTGAGTACTTCTACAATGTCCTCAAAAAAGACCCGTCGGCTCCAAGAGTGGACCTCAACGACATCTCGCCGCTCGGGCTGGCCACCGTCATCGCCTATGCCTACACGGGCAAGCTGACCCTCTCGCTGTACACCATCGGAAGCGTTGTGTCCGCGGCGGTCCACCTTCAGATCCACACTCTGGTGAAGATGTGCAGCGATTTCCTCATGCGGGAGATGAGTGTGGAGAACTGTATGTATGTGGCCAACATTGCCGAAACATACTCCCTGAAAACCGCCAAAGCTGCCGCCCAGAAATTCCTACGGGATAACTTCATCGAATTCGCCGAGTCCGATCAATTCATGAAACTGACCTTTGAACAGATCAATGAACTCCTTATCGATGACGACTTACAGTTGCCTTCTGAGATAGTAGCATTCCAGATTGCAATGAAATGGTTAGAATCTGACCAAAAGAGAATGAAACACGCAGCAGATCTTCTGAGCAATATCCGCTTCGGCACCATCTCTGCCCAAGACCTGGTCAATCATGTTCAGTCTGTGCCCAGAATGATGGAAGATGCCGACTGCCACAAACTTCTGGTAGACGCGATGAACTACCACCTGCTCCCCCACCACCAGAACACACTGCAGTCGAGGCGGACGCGAATCCGAGGTGGCTGCCGAGTCCTGGTAACTGTCGGGGGACGCCCGGACCTTACTGAGAAGTCTCCCAGCAGAGACGTTCTGTATAGAGACCCTGAAAATGGATGGTGCAAGCTGACAGAAATGCCAGCCAAGAGCTTCAATCAGTGTGTGGCTGTGATGGATGGATTTCTTTATGTAGCCGGTGGCGAAGACCAGAACGATGCGAGAAATCAAGCCAAGCACGCAGTCAGCACTTTCTGCAGGTATTTGATCTTGTGTGTAGCCTCGGGGTTGGGGCCGGGGGGTGGGGGGCGCACTACCTTGACACAGAAGTAACTTAATCATGGGCATGAGCTTAGCTTACTGGGTCAGTAATAGTTACCAGGTACGGCATTTTCTGTAACATGCATTCAAATGCATGATGTAGTCTGCATTTCCAAAATAAGCCCGTTAGGTGGGACTAGAAGGCAGAATTGTTTTTATTTTATAGATGAGAACCTGGTACCCAAAGAACTCAGACCAATAGGAAGTGGTCATGTTTCCATATTGGTTCACTCTACACTGACTTCTTGGGCACAAACTCAGTTTTGAACACTAAGCGGTTAGAAAAAAAACACATAACACAAAATTTCTTTGAAGTTGCTGCTGCTGGCAACTGTCTGATTCATAACCGTCAAACAGAAGGATATCGTTAAAACTGTGACAGCTGATTTAGTATTTAACGAATGAATGACAGAAAATGCTATTTTTGATACATGCCCCCAAAAGAGCAAAAGCATGATAAACCCTTCAAAAATGGAATTAAGGCTCTAGCCTGTCATATCTTTATGACAAGAGAAAACAAAGCTCCGGTGGAGGGAATGCTTACGAGTGATGCTTGTGTGGTGGCTGCAGACCAGGTCACCTGCTGAGTCACCTGCGAGGCCCTCCAGGCCACATCTGGGAAAGTGAAGTGTGAACCCGGGACTCTGCTCTAGGAAGCAAATGCCCATGGTCCTCTGCCTGTCTCCTCCACACCCCTCCTCCCTTTAGGAGTCGGTTAGCTTTTTTCAGTGCTTACTATTGACTTGCTGAACTCTCACCTGTCAGCGAGTGTGGAGACACAGAAAAGCCTAGGAAGCCGAGCCTTGTTGATTTTAGGCACGAATCCCCGGTCGCCTTCTGGTAGTGGAGGAAGGCTGAGTTATGGCCGAGACAGGCGCAGCGAAGGGTTCCACTCGCCTCTGGTTAGGCCAGGCTGAGCCAGGCAGCCTTGTCTGCAGACAGAAGGGCCTGCTGCCAGGATTCCTCCCGCCTGCTTCACTTGCAGGGGCTGGGGGGGGTGGTGGTGGAGGAGAGGGGTCTGTTCCACACTCATGGGGCTGGGGGGGGCATG